CTGCGGGCTAGAGCCCCCGAGCCGCAACTACTGAGCCCGGGTGCCACAACTACTGAAGCCTGCGTGCCTAGAGCACGTGCTCTGCAAAACAGAAGCCACCGCAATGAGAAGCCCGCGCACCACAACAAAAGAGTAGCCCCTGTGCGCTGCAACTAGAGAAAGCCCACTCGTAGCAACGAAGACCCAACACAGCCAAAACTAACTAAATAAATAAAATTTTAAAAAAGAAAAAAAAATAGATGGTAATGGTAAAATCACGCTGGTGAGTACACAGGTGTTTACACTACAATTCTTTCAACATGTTTGAAATTTTTCATAATAAAACGTTGGGGAAAGTTACTTAATACTTTATCAGAAGCAAACCAGCAAACTCTGGATACACAGCAATCCTGAGGACTGTCACTGGGAAGATAGAATTCCTTCCAGCACCCTCTGCTCTCCCCTTGGCCACTGACCTCCTCCCTGACACAAACCCTGGCCCACACATCCTTCCTCTTCCCCTGTACCTTCATAATCATGCCCTCACCCTCTGGGCAAAGGTGAATGGAAAAACAGCACAGGGTACTCAGGTATTGGGCAGACTTCATGATGAAGACTCAAGCCGACATGCTATCCTCATAATCGTGGTAAATTGTCAGCACACGTACTATTCTGCACCCAGAAGACTGTAAAATCTTGTTTTTTTTTTTTTAAAAAAAAACCTAATCGCAGTTATATAAATTGCTTAATATTCCAGATTTTAAATTATAGAAAAGATTGTCTCCTACTAATGGCATGGAGAAATGACCAGTATTCGCCTCTTATTTCCACTGTTCACGGGGAAAGAACATAACATTTGTTAAGCCCTAGATACAGAACAGATGCTTTGCATACATTGACTCACATAGTTCTCATAGCCCTGCCAGCATATAGCCCCAATATCCTCATTTCATAATGAAGCTCATGATTATAGAGCCAGTAAATAGTAGATCTAGGACTCAAACCAAGATCTCCTCAGTTCAAAACCAGTTCTTTTCACCAAAGCACATTGTCCCTGGCATTTAAAATAGGTTATGTTCTGCAAAGCTAACATAGCTCCAAGAACAACAGCAGTCACTTGGCCAGGATATGACAAAATACCACTAGTAAAGGAATAAAATTTATAAGGGCAGTTCGTGTTCTACTTCAACTGTTTTTACCAAACCACCACCCACCCAAAGGTATTTTTAACAGTTTACACGTCCCACCAGTATTATTGTTAAATGTAACAAGCATACAAAACTTGGCAACTATTCCCATATTTTCTGTAGCTTTAGGGGCAGTTCAGGGTTTAATAAACCTGCTTAACTGAGGGGAATTTATTTTTGATGTCGGTACTGCCTGTTCATAAACTAGAATTAAACAGATAGCCCAACTTCTCCATAATGATCTTCCATATGATGCTTAAACCATCAAAAACTCCTATCCAATAATGAAATAATGGAACCTTTTCCTCACATTAAGCCAGATTTCTATACTACTGAAACGATATAGTAATCACCCAGTAGATGGCACTAATTGTGCTGACTACCTTGTTTCTATTGGTTTTCTATCTTAATTAATCCAGAGACTTAGGTCAGAGGTCTTACTCAGCTCCCTACTAGGGTTATAAATATTTAAAACAAAAGACTAGCCCCACATGGCAGTCAAATCATACCTGGTATATTACTTCTTTATGTAATGTATTTATGGTATCCATCTCTCTGAACAGAACAGGATTAAGATCTGTAAGTGGTAGGTTCTGTAGGCATTCTCAGTAATATTTATCATGCCTCCAACCCCACCAGCATCTCTCTACATAATAAAGTAGGAAACTGAGGAACGCTTTGGGGGATAGGAGGAAGGTAGAAGATGCTGCAAACAGATTTGCTGAAATAAGCAACAATAAAATCTTTTTTTTTTTTTTAACAGAAAACTAGGGTGAAAAGGCTTATTTTCACTTTGATCTATATAGGTCCAAAGGAAGCCAGGCAATTCCACTATGGGTAATCTGACCTTAAAATATTCTATTTGAACCTAATTCAAAACTCGGTGCTCAGCTCACATCCAGAGGCCATACTCAAAACTCCATTCTGCTGGGAACTACTCTGCTTTACCCATCAATTCTGACCTTCATAGATATATGCTTCCAAGTACAATTCTTCCACATTTTATAATACAGAACCTTGGTATATTCTGGCCTCACAAAGATAAACTGGTACGTGTATGTGTGTACATACACTTCAGAATTATTTCTTTGTTAATGGGAGATATCAAGGGTAGGGGACAAAAGTTTTCAGGGACTTTGTTTCAAGTGCAGCTCTCCCAGACCTACACTTATAAACTCTCCTCCTGGTAGAGAAATAATCCATACATTTAACAAGTTCCTGGGAAGAATCTCATATAGGTTTATAAACCATTCTTTGAAAGTTTTATTCAACATCTATTCAATTTGTGGACCAAAAAACTGGACTCTCTATGTCCAAAAGCACAAATTTTGATGGCGTGAAATATTTTTAAAGGTACTCAAATTTTTGAAAATGGTTAAAGACCTGATTTTTAAGGACATGTCAATGGTCCTTCAGTTGAGGCTGTTAGACAATACACATGGTATGACAGTGAGGACTGTGGTGTGTCAACAGCCTCAAGAGACCTGGGCTCTAATATAATTCAACATCTAGTCCCTAAGTTTTCAGGAGGCATGTTTTTAAAACTTTGGGAGCCATGGTAAGATTGTGTATTACCTATCAAGACCTTTAAAAAGACTTAAGTGATTAAATGTCTACTAGCCAAACTTGTTAAAATGTTCATCTTCTTTACATCATACTGATTACCTCGTTGTGGTAAACAGCTCTTCGTAACATCTTTGAACATAATGTTCTTAACGAGGAAACATATTAAATAAGGGGCTTGTCAGTCTGGACTTGATTCTCTTGCCTGTGATTAGTGCTTTAAGAAACATCATTATACCCTTTTAGTTCAGAAACCTGGAGTAATGTGGTCACAGTTCTGGAAGACAAATTCTTGTGCATCCCTAACAAAGCAAACCTTGAGGAATTTGGAAAAGACTTGAATACACCTGGAAAGTAGAATGTTTTTCTCCCTCGGGTCCTAACATACTATCATTCACGATAGTGCTGTTTTTCCAAGGTCACAATTAGATTTCCTCAGAAGCATAACTTAACTGTTAGTCATTATGGCTACTTTGTGAAATGTGGGCTGTTTACTCCATTTACTTAATAATTGGCTGGAACCTCAATACACAGATTTTCACTACGGCCAAGTATATCTGCTTTTACCCCTGTCATTAAACCCATACCAGAGATCGACCATGACCCTCTTCTACTAGAAATGTTCACCTTCATAAGACAGGGGATAAAACAAATTAAGAGAAGGAAAAATAGATTAAAAAAAAAAAGAGGCCATCATAGGGCAAGTTTTCCCAAGAACAAGTCTAGAGGTAAGAACAGACTTCGGTGTGGAAAAGTGTTCCATGGTGATACTGCTTTTCACATGGTTTTCTGGTTTGTTGTCTCTAGAACTTTTGTGAATACATTAAAGTCTCTTAAGAGTCATGGCAGCCTAAAAGTGCTTGGAGCAATCAGTCATTATGGTACATTATGATACTTAATGGTATTATTAAGGTATAAGAAAAGGGAAGTCACGTCAGTAAGCAAACTGGAATGTCAGATCCACATAAACTTAAACTAACAACTGCTACTGTGTCTTAAGACTGATGTAAAATATTCTCAATTTGCACCTTCTGAGAAAACTTTTTAGTTTACCTTAAAACTTCCTATACTTTAAATGTTCTTTATATATCATAAGATTACTTTTTTACTAACCTCACATCTATTTGTTTTTAGTATCACTCCCTTGGCATTATTACTCAACCCAGAAAATTAAACACCCTTAAAATGTTAAATGATAAAAATACAAGTGACAAATACTCAGTGATACAAATATTTAGGGTAGTCTAAAGCTAAACTGTCCTCAAATTTAAAACGCAATTACTAAAACTACAGGAACAAAGCAAAATTGAGTTGGTATACTATAGGAAAACCAGTCTAAGTGTCCATGGGAAAGCATACTGCAGCTTTCACTATTATACATCATCATCTGGGCTTATGGGTTTCATCTTTCCATGTCTGTACTGTAGCAACTCCCAAACAACCTGCCTAGACAGGAGGGGCCACCTGCCTAATGAGACTTCAATCCACTTCAGAACTGGTTTGTAAAAATAAAGTGGGACCCAAACCTAGCAGTGTGTATTTCTACACTAAATGGCTTTGGTTTTCGGGACGGTGTTTAAACTTATTTAAAAGTTGATAGCTGAAAGCACCAGGAAGGAGGAAGGTAGGAAACTTTCTTCCTCTTAACTTCTTGATGAGTACTGTCCAAGCAGGCTGGGAAGGCAAATGTTCATTATGGATTGTAACTCACTTTGCTTTGGTTTTGAAGGCTTTCCTTAAGAAAAAAGAAATTTGTTAATAAATGATAAAAAATACAGAACAACAAGGTTAAATGATTGAGGCAAATGTCAATTACAAAAGTAAAAGATAAGGTGTTTCTCTACTTAATCTCAACACAATAAAGGGTAACAATACTTCCACACCTAACCCTGCATTTTCTTCTGTTCTCGAGGTATGACTAGACAACAAACATTTGACTGCTTATTAAGAGCCAGAAGTCATTCTACTCATTCACACAGGAAAATCTTAACTATACAAAGGGGTAATATTACTCACTTACTTGTTTTTATAGTTATGGAACCTGGCTTACAGAGGTTTCAAGTGGAATAACTTGCCCAACATCACAGGTGAAGAGAAAATAAGGCCAGGATTGGAAGCTCAGCAATCCATACCTGATTATTTTAATCTTCCAGAACTCCAAAATCCTTTCTTTTAAAATGACCTTTAACACTAATCTCCCACAAATAACTCAGTGTTAGTGCTCCTACATCTACTGAGATTTAAAAAAAAAAAAAATTATGTACTAATTTGTAATTTTTTTACTCCAAACATCTGTAATTTTGTGAACATCTTAAAAAAATACTAGTCACAAAGCCAAATTAACTATAATCATCAGTATATGAATAAAGGAAAAACTTATTTCTATAACATATAATCCCCAGTTACTGAAATACTATAAACAATAAGCTTCTTGAGATTATTCATTATTTCGTCTACCCCTTAACACTATCCACACAGTGCCTAATATGTGACATACTGAAATACCTGTTAGACACACTGGATTAGAGCAAACAAATATCTGGCACAAATTTTTATATTGAAACGCTATGGCACTTTCAGAAAACAAAGTCCACTTAAATTATTGTTATTTGAGGTGGGGAAAAAAGACACAGTGACAAATACAAAGCTAAGTAGTCACCAGGCTGAAGTCATCATTACAATTACAGTAAAAGGTACTGGCTCTCCATTGTAAACCATTAAAAGAGCAAAAATAAGGTAGGTCTGTTAACATTAACGCAAGTTTTATTCAAGAGATAACGTTGAAGAAGAGTTTAATTCCAGCAAAGGAAAAATTTACCAGTTATCCACCACACAGTAGAAAGTGGAACTGGACACCACTTACAACACATAAATAAATTCTACCTTTACATTTCTAAATAAAGCTGTATTTGCTTCTTTGAGAGAGCCATTTCTTAACTTTTGCTGATAAGGCTTTGTGAATTGTGTTCAGAAACTGACAATAAACACACACACATACCCTCAAATAAAGTAAGAACCTAGGAATTTCACTCCAGGCTGAGTTTCTGCAAGTACCTAGGACGCCATAAATTAAGATTACATTTTTCTACATAAATTCAATTTGAATTGCCTTCACTATAATATTTATCTACCATAATTTGTAAAAATTAGATCAATGTTTATTATGACTTCATAATTCCCTCAAATTAAACTTCAATATTTGACATAGTAGTTTAAGAAAATAAACATTCAAGGCCTCAGTTTTAAATTTCCATTCAGTTGTAATGCACGAAGCTGGTAAGTATTAACAGGACTACCCTAAGATAAAGGAAATGTAGCTTTCTTCTAAAAATTTCTTGTTATAATACAGATCACATTCTATTCCATAATTCTGATAAAGAATATGTTTTTTGGTAACAGAACAAGAGTTTAGGATGATTCAGTCCCTGGAAAATCTTAATGGCAGTCACTCAATGGAGAAGTCAATCATTCCTGGAGTCACAAACACTCAAAAATTGCTGTTAGCATTAACCATGTTTTTGCTTTTTTGGTGGTTATTGCGTTAGCTGGCAATATCTGTTTTTAAGACAAAAGAACATCTCCCACTAAGCCTGCTTTAGTTGGCCATATCTGTTTTTAAGCCAAAAGAACATCTCCCACTAAGCCTTATTTTAAAAATTACAAAGTTTGTACAGAAAATAGACTCATAGAGGCTAAAATGCTGATGTCGTAAGTAACTCACCCATGAAATGGGTGCAGGTATTTTAGAGGATATCCAAAGATCTTTTTGCTCTAAAAATAAATGCCCCTATTCTTCAGTGTTCCCATTCTTCAATAGGATACTCGAGCAGCTTAATAGTTCTGCTATAAAAAACAAACCACTCTTGTTAACAAACCAAAAACATAAAAGGAAACCGATAAAGGACAGTTTTCACAGTTAACAATAAATAAAAGTGCAGTAAGTGTTCAAGTAGGGCACGTAGTTTAAAAACTACATGTGTGTATTTGGCATAGGTCATCTTTTAAAGGCTCTCCGAGGGTCCCTGCCATTACTTATTGTGGTCATGACTGTTTGATTATTAGCTGTTCCTGGTAGCTGTGGATTTACAGGTCCCCGGCCATTGCTTCTACCAGCATATGAAAATTGGCATCCCCTTGCTTCTGAGCCAGTTTGAACACCGTTTCCTAAAAAAGAATATAAAAAATCATCACCATTTTCAAATAGAAGTACATCTATCTGAAGTTGTAACACATGCTATTAATGCTTACAAGTATTATGGAAAACAAACTCCTTTATTTATTTATTTAATTATTTTTTTAAACTACTGGAAAAAACTCAGCTTGAGTCCTAGGTTTTCCCAAATGTATAATTACTGTAAATATATTAACTTGATGCTTGCATTACTAGGGAGAGGAAAAAAAGAGCAACTTCGGTAATAGAATGAGAAATCAATAAAGTAGGAAAAAAGCATAGTTAATGCCCTACCTACATTATAAGGGAAAAAGCAAAAGCAAAATGGTATATAAGTATTGGCATTTGGTTCAAATAAGGTTAACAATGTTTTAAAAGAGACACGTAATTCTAACTTTTTAAAGGAAAAACCAAAGCGTCCCACAGCATAATGATCATCAGCTGTGCTCAAACATGTAGACAACAGGTCAAATAAAACTTCAGCCACCTTAATGAACTCCAATCACAAAAGACTTTTCCTCTGGTCTTTAAGAATAAAGGCTTCAAAAGACCTTTAACAAGGATGTAACAACCATTGACCTTTGAGAGTATTTGAGGGGTAAAGGCCAATCTTTTAAAGAGGCAGCTATGAGCATGTGAAAAACTAAGGTGAGCATCAATCTGAAGATAAACTGCTTTCGGTACACAAAAATAACCAGTTATTCTGCATCTATTATCAATAATCACTAGATTACAGAAATTTTGTAAAAATCAATGGAAAATAACATAATGAATCACCAAAACTTAGATTTATTATTAGCCAACGTTCACCCAGTAACTGGCCCAAATGTTTAAATATAGAATGTGCTCAATAAATTAGCTTAAGAGGGAATCTGCTTTCTAGAAAAATCAGTTATATTTTCATAAGATAGATTCCCTTAATTCTTACACCTGATCACAAATATACCAAAAAAAAAAAATCTTACCCACTGGTCCAAATGTACCTGTACCCATATTACTATTCATGGAATTATTCTTCTGTTCACTGTGTGCCTATTAAAAAAATGCCTTAATGTAATCAAATGAAGATTTTCAAAAAACCATATTATTATAACATGTTGTAGCCATTGTTTTTTTTTAAACTTTCAAGGGTTTTTAAACAATTTAAAAAGATTCATCCAAGTCCTTTCAATGTTAAAATATTCAGGAATGTTTCCAGACCTTTCAAAGCTTCTGTTACATCTTACACCTTCCTGATATTACTCCCTGCTCCTCAAAAGTGCTAAACTGCTAAATGGCACATACAGTCGTCCCTCAGTATCTCACGGGGATTGGTTCCAGGACCCCCCAGATACCAAAATCTGAAGATGTTGAAGTTTCTTGTGCAATATGGCATACTGTAGTCAGCCCTCTGTATAGGAACATTCTGCATCAGCAAATTCAACCAGTGCAAGTTGGTTGAATGATCCATGGATATGGAGGGCTGACTGTACATTTCATATATGATACTACAGACACCTATACAGACTCACTCACAAAACATATAAAATGGAAAAGAATTCCATTAAAGAATCTTTAAAAAGATTCTTTTTAAAATCGTCTCCATTATACTTAGGGTATGAAAAGCTTGGCAACCTAGCCACAGATTTATAGTACATAGTCAAAATTAGCCTAATCATAAAAACAGACAATACATTTGGATTAATTACCCCTTTGTTCTGCTGTCCTCGATAATCTGGGTTAGGTTCACTGAAATTTGGCACTTCTGAATAAACCATACAAAATCTGAAAGACAATAAAGGACAATTTGAATGACTTCTGAAATAATCAACCTTTCTTTACATAACATGCATAACTTTCAGGAATAAAGAATGTAGATGTCAAATGAATTACCAAACAGCAATATGCTAACTAACTCTATTCATTTACAACAAAAACTTTCTAAATGCTTATGTTTCATTAAAAAAAAAATCAAATATTTGATTGCCTACAATGTTTAAAACATTCTATTTTGTATTTTAATTCTTCTTCTGTCCTTATCAAAGATCAAGGACACAGAAACACATCTTTGTCCTGTTTTTCCACATAGGCTGATGGATGCCTCTGAACCATGTTTATTAGGGTTCCAGAGTTTTTCCAGCATTGGTGATGGATTTGCACTGATCCACTCACACACTTTCATCCCGTCCCTCTTTGACCAATCACTGTGAATCTGCAAAGGTAATCATTCAAGGTTAAAAGTGGATTTTGCAGGCATGAATAAAGACAACTGGCTATCAAGACACGGTTTATCCCAATGCTTCTTATCAGCTGACTATGGTGTATATTGATAAACATTACACACGAGCATTTTCTTAGCTCCTCAACCCACAAATAAATCAGAATCAGTTTTGGTAACTCCTGGACTGACCCTGACAAAGTCACTATGTATTGAGTGACCCCCAGTGGTTCTTCACATAACTGACCACCATTATTATAAATACCTCTCTATACATGAAAGTCAGAACAGGATCCTCAATCTTTCTGTAATATTGATGCTAAGACCTCTCATAACACATTGCTCTACTACTACTCTAAGTACGAACATAAGTGAATCCTAATTTTCCTCCTAAGCGAAAGCAAAGTGTTACCAGTTTCTGATCTTTAAAAGCTAGCAAGATTGCTTAGTTTTCCCAAAGTATCTTATTCCTGTAGTGTAGAACACATTCTTCCTTCCTTCCTTTATTTATTTATTTATTTTTGGTGCCATTTGTGGCTTCTCTCTTTAGATATCCTCTATTTTGACAGGCATTAAGTTGATGTCAGGCATTAACCAAACAGAATGGATTTTATGATTTGGCTCATTGCCTACACCATACTTTATGAGTACATCCCAAATGTCTAGGCCAGCATGGAGGCTGAATTACCTTTACACCCCTAGAGAGGATGGTTCCTCCGAGTCAGGGTGGAGATTACCACAGTAGTAGTTTATAGAAGCTTGCATTGTGGCTGCCTGTACGGTACCTAGACTGTGGATAAATACAGGACTTCAATTGTCATTGCTGCAAGTCCTTTTACATACAGAACTTACTTCAAATGGCATTTGTGACATCTGAAAGATATACATTCGCAAAGCCTACAGAAACGGTCCCACTGGGGATTGTCTCAAGTGCAGCTTCTTAATGCTCTTTGCCAGGAAAAACTGACATTCTCAACCACAGGAAACAGTACTGATAGGTGTTAAACTAGCACATACATGCAAAGTTAAGCTGCTGTAAGCATTCAGTTTACAGTCAAAAAGTCAACAAATAGGTTGATCATTTATACCTACCAGTTATTCTGTACATATTATTTGTAATTTATTCAATTATATGAAATGCATCTTGATACTTACTCCCCAATTTTTTGAAGTTCTCCACCCCTTCCAGTATAAAGTGTCAGACATCCTTTCCACATGGATGCATACCTAGAAAGAAAAGAAACATCAGTTCTATGGAAATATGTATATTTCCTTCTACTTAAATCAAATAAATCTTTATACTATTTTTTTTGTATTGGGGTGCAGGTGGGGCTCAAACCCTGTATCTACCATTGATTAACTTGTTACTTACTAAGGAATAATGCAAAGAAAACTCTACTGCCAAATTTTGACATAATTATATAAACGATAACTAACCCTAAAAAATAGAAGTCTTTTTGCAAAGCAAGCATTGTTATACTCCAAAGATCACATCTTTAGCCAATTAAGAAAGGGAGAACGTTCAAACTGCAGAGATTCAAGCAGAATTACTTTTCAAACACAGGGCATATAAAATCAACACCCTAGTGTTTACTTTTACACGCATGTACTTGGTCTACCAGATACTGATATATTTTTTTCCTTTGCCTCCATAAAACACATAGGCTAGTATGTGTTATTCCTAAGCTACTGAAAATTTAGTAAAATTTAATCAAGGGGCTAAAAAACTATGATCACAAATCTTTCGCTTATCTGCTTTTCCAAATTCCCAGTTTTTAGCAACAACTTGGCTGAACAATTATTTACTGAGCACAATTTTGAATGCAGGAAGCATCATTAGATAAAATAATCCTATTCACAAATCTAAGACAAATGTAAATTCATCAATAGTATAAAATAAGCCCAAGGCTTGGTTTTCAGTGGTTCTTTGTACAACTACTATGGTAACTTCATGATTTAGAAAGATAAATTATAACCAAATATTGCTTAAGTATAATGATAGTTCATCTTTTAATACAGGTTAATAAAATATTTCTCATTTCACATTATATATTTCTCTTCATTTAGTAAAGGTTATTTATTAAAGACTCCACTCACCACTTTTAAGTTACACAAAAAGTGACTTAGGAGACAGTGCACTAATATTTCACCTTACTAAAGTAAAAATTAATGCCTATTTTGAGAGAAAATTTGAAGTTACTACAACTAAAACATTTAACTTTCACTTATTTCAGGAATGAGATCAATGTTTGCAGGGTTTTCTGATATGCATCCCAATATTCAAATTACCATTATTGAGATGTATACCTTTCTTCAAAAGCTACTTTTCTTAGATTCAACCAGAATTTAAGGGCCTTACAATGGGCCAGACTCTGCTAGATATGTTACTTTAGTAAGGTATAAGTATTCCCATTTTACAGAAAAGGAAGTTGAAAAGTGTAATAACTTCAAGGTTACACTGAAGTAACAGTAGAGTTTCTTTGGTTTTGAATTTTCCTTTAAACTGTACTCCTTGGTAACTATACTCCTTAAAATCCTATAGATACTATAAGGCTACTGACTTAGTTTTTCCACAGTTTTTTTGATGGACACATCTATGTATTTTCCGTGACTACAAAATATGAAATAATTGAAAAGAGATGCCGTTTACAGTGTATAAAATAACTTCTAATCACTGGATGAGATACTTTGGCAGCCAAAAAACTTTAATTATGCTAATTCTTACCATATCCTCCCAGGAAGAAATTCTCTTTTGTGCAAGTTAAAGATGTGGAAGTTAAAAAGACATAGCCAGTGTCATAATGAGTCAGTGTATAAGAAAAAAAATGTCCTGACTCTCACTTCCTTCTTCGATGATACTATGCCTCACTTCCTGAAGATGTTGTAAGACCTGTAAAATACTATCAAAGGGCTCTAAGCTCCTACTTTCAGGGTGATCCAACACTTTTCTGAGATTCTATGTACTTTGCCAACGTCAATCTCCACCCACTTTTCCTACAGTTATCACCAATGAATTATTACAATTCTACTGACCACAAAGCTTCCAAAATCTATTTTTAAGACCCCTTTCTGGCATTTTATCCTCCTAATACTTGGTAAATCTCTAAAGGCAGTCTAATTACTAATCAAAAAAAAAAAGGTTGTACTAAATTATTTTTAAAAGCCAATCTGCCAACTAACTCTTTTGGACAGAGGTATCATAGACATCTTTCTGCCAAACATTTTCTGCACATCATTTTGTTTTTGTACAACATTGACCTTACAGCAGTAGGCACAAGAAATTATTTTCAAGAACGTGACTTCCAGATATTGTAAACTTCCTCTCTCAACTTTTACATCCGAGTACAAATCTGACACACTACAAAACCTACTAAATTCTCCAGCTACAATCTCGATTTACGTCCCCACTGTCTAAATGAGTATACAAATAAAATACGGGCAGGATCTCAAAAGTCATTAAAAAGGGGAAAAGGTTGGAAAAAAAGCTAAGTGACAACTATATTAAATAGTTTATGAAAAAGATGAAGTATTGATTATGTTAGTTTTAACAATCTACTAAAAAGACTCAGTAATCCCAGAACAGTATTTAAAAATCTACTTAATCTGTAAACTGAGGGTGGGGTTGTTTAGATTCGGCTGAAACTGACTGCTTTTAAAGATGAAGGTGTTACATCCCAATGCCGTCCATCACCTGAGGTTAACACTGAAGGGGCTTAAAAATCCTCGGGGTGGCCCACAGAAAAGATGAAATTTTAGAACTTGCCAAGGTCCCGGGCGTCAGCCAATTCCGATTCCGCAGACTCCTACTTGGGAGGCACTCTGATCCCCCAACCCTTTTATGCACACCTACCCTCTGGTCAACCGAATAATATCCCCTGGCTGTATAAGACCTCCGATTTCATCCCACACGGAAATAGTGATGCTGCCAGTTTTATCTGCTACTTTGCATGATCTCACTTCATGGCCGTCTTTGGTTTTGGTCACGCGTCCTGTGAGGATTTAAAAATCAAAATGGGGAGGGGTGTATTAGATAATGAGGACTTCCAAAAAGCTAACTCCTCCTCCGGGATCAAAATGCACCTGAAAGGTGGGAAGAGGTCGAGCCCCGGGTTCTCGCCGCAGGTAGGCTACGGCCCCAGCTCGGGCCAACGGGGCCACGTGGATGGGGAAGGGGAGAGGAAAGGGAGGAAAGGGGGACGGGAGCCCCCGGCTCGCGGCGGCGGCGCCCTTCCCTCCTGTCCCGGGACGCACACAGGGCGGCGAGGCGGGCTGCTGACCCCACTTACCTATCTCCAGCACAATAAAGACGACATTTAAGTTTTTCAGTCCGGGCTTAATATCTTTTATAAAAAGAGGGGGGTCGTTGACCCCGTTCATACTGAAGCAGGTGCTGCTACGCTGCGGAGACTCGAGTGGGCAGGGAGCCTGACAAAGCTTCCCACCCCCCGGGCCAGGGGCGAGGGCAGAGGGGCGACCTTGGGCGGGGTTGGCGAGAGAAGGGGCAGAAAGCGGTTAGTCAGGGACCAATGAAACCAGTCCAGACGGCACTGAGCCTAAAAAAAAGGGGAGGAAAAAAATAAAAACAAAACCAAAAACGCTCACAAGTTTAAAAGAAAAAAAGACGAACCACTCCGCACACCAACCCCGCTCCCAACGGGGCGACAGGAAGGCAAGCGCGAGAACTGCCCCCTTCTTTGGATAAAAGGAAGAAAAAAAGACAGCGAGAGGACGCCTCTGCCCTGAGTCCCGCTCACACACACACGGGCGTTGCCCTGTCTGTCCCGGGCTCCGGGTAGTGACGGGCTGTGACAGCGAACCCAGAGCAGAAACCAAACTACCACGCACCCAGAGCACCAAACACCGACTGCGGAACGCGCCCGCGCGCCGGCTGGACCCCCGGGTCGCCCCGCCTCTTGTGACGTCCCATGGCGAGCCCCGCCCTCCATGCTCCGGGGAAGCCAAGGGGCGGAAACTGGCAGGCGACGCCAGCGCAGCCTCCCTCTTTCCTCCCCGGCATGTCAGCGCGGGCCCCGCCCCCTCAGCCGTCCAATCGGATCTCGGCTCCGCCCCACCCTCCTCCAGCTTCCGCCGTCGCTGCGCAGCGTCGGCTCTACCCTGCCTAGTCTTCCATCTAAAGGTTTCTATCACTTGCTGTCAGTCTTCTGGGTTTTCATGCATTTTTTTTTTCCCCTCAGAGTTCAGTCCTCCCGCCCCCCTGCCCTTTAGTTTCGCAGTCACTGCGAACGGTTGCTGTGTTTTAGGACCCAGTGGGTACGCCAAAAAGTATGCAGTAGAGTAAGAACAAGGTTCAGGCTAGGGTGGCTGGTCTGGGTTGAAAGAAAAAAAAGGTAGGGATGGGTCCTTAGCTGTAGGGCAGGAATTTTAGGGCCGGAAAGGAAGTTAGAGATCCACTCAACCGCCTCATTTTAAGCATATTTAAAATTGAGATCCAGAAAGGTGAGGTAGTTTGCTGAAGGTCACCCAGGAACTTTGTGAGCAAGCAGGGCGTCAACACAAGTTGTCCAACCTAGTCTTGGTGCTTTTCACTCTATAATGCTAGGCAGATAGACAAGTAGTTAAATTCCTTTTCAAATGTATTATTTTTCCTTACCCTTCTCTAGATTACCACTCTTACCCATGTTGCTTTTCTTTATGCTTGTTTGTTTTTTAATAGACTATTTTTTAGAGTAGTTTTATGTTAGAGAGGAAGGTACGGAGATTTCCCTTATACTCTCTACCCCGACACAGGTATAACCTCTCCCATTATCAATATTCCCCCCAGAGTGGTACCTTTGTTGTAGCTGATGAACTTACATTAACACATCATCACCCAAAGTCCATATAATTTACCTTAGGGTTGGTTCTTGGTGTTGTACATTTTATGGTTTTGGACAAATGTATAATAACATGTATTCACCAATAAAGTATCATACAGAGTAGTTTCACTGCCCTGAAAATCTTATGTGTGCCACCTACTCATCCTTCCCTCTCCCCTAACCCCTGGCAACTACTGATATTTTTACTGTCTTCATTTTCCAGTATGTCATATAGTTGAAATCATAACAGTATGTAGCCTTTTCATATTGACTTCTTTCACTTAGTAATATGTACTTAAGTTTCCTCCATGTCATTTCATGAGCTATCAAGTCATGCAGTTGTTTTCGTACATACAAAATAATTGTGTGACAACAGTGGGAGACCCTGAAACATTATAACCTGGGGAGGGAAAAGATGAATAAAGTTTTCTTTATGTTGTGTAGTGAAAAAGACATATGCTTTAGAAGCAAACCTAGGTGTGAACGATTTACTAGCTGTGTGACCTTTAGGACAGTTGATTAAGCTTTCTAGTCATAATTTAATCATCTGAAAATAAAAGGATGTCTACCTCACAGAGGATTGCATGGGCTCATAATAGTGCCTAGCAAATAGTAGATACTCAATAAATATTTTCTCCTTGCCTATTTTCTATAATTAAAGAAAAGGAGACAATAGTAGCTTAAGCTGTGATTACTTAATCTTTTCTACATTCTACTTGGTGATTGCTAATTTTTATACCCATTTTACAGATGATGAAATCATCTGAGACCACATAGCCGGAGAAGGCCAAACTGAGTTTTGAATCTAGGCAATCTTGACCCCAGAGCCTTCCGGCCTAAAGGTAATTTTTAGACTTAAAGTGCAGTAGTGGAATTATGAGTCAAAAGCAGACTAAATAAAGTTTTAGCAGCAACATATATCTATAGGGCTTTAGAGAATCATGTAATTAACTATTTGAGATGGTAACAGATACGTTGAGAAGAGTATCAGAATTTGTGTGGCAGAAGACTTTTTCTTTGAATCTTTCTGAATATTTTTAGCTCAACAACACCACTTCCCAAACACCTGCAAACAAACAGCATAGGTATATTACAGCACAAGAAATGAGTTTCAACGATAATCACAACATTAACAGGGGAGTCAATACATTCTTAAGGAAGCAGAAGCTTTCAATTCATGGACAAATAAAGTCCAGTGTGCCAAAGACACTGACGTAATGCTGGAAAATGGTGTAACATATTATTATAAGCATGATTTCAATATCCAGTAAAACAATGATGAAACATGTGAGTTAATGGCAGAACCACATCCAACGTCAGGGCTCCCATAGACTCCCAGTCTGGCCCAGAGTTTAGGCAAAGAAAGTTAGCCACTCCCTGAACCCTGGGTCATTTGTTCCCAGAAAGGGGATTAGGTAGGACTGCTCAAACCAATTTACAGACATTTAGAAAGAGGAACCAGACACTTGGGAAGCCAGCCCCACAAAAGTAGAAGCTTGTGCTCAGAGGCACAGCCCAGCCCAGCCCTGCACTTCCCCCACAGGACAGAATTCAGTCGAACATCTCTCACTTCCTTTCCTCCTAACTCAGCAGTTCTCAGAAAGGAAATGGCAACAAGTGCTTTCTCATTCACCAAAACTAAAGGCAGTCTTGAGAAACAAGATGGTGTGGGCAGTTTAGGAACTCTTCAACCCAGGTCAGTTGGTTTAAACTATCCCTGATCACTCCTCAAGGGTGGTGGTTAATTTAAAAAAAAAAAAAGAAAGGAGATGTCTAGAAGAGCAACTATTGCCACCCAAATAATCTTTCCTAATATTACCATTCAGTGAAATAAACAAAGATCCATCAATGCTCAGCCAGTTAGAGCGTAATGACTATATTGCTGCTTCTTTACTGTCTTTGCAGGATTACTTCGTGGTCTTGCTTCTAAGACTGTTTGTGGGCTTTCCACACTTTCATAGCCCAAACATAGACTTATTCTGAGATGATGAGAGGTTTATGCCCAGAAGCTCAACACCACTACTCCGTGTAAAGAAGATATTGCTTGGTCAGATCCAGTAAAATACCAAAGGGCATCCATTAGAATCTTGTGCATAAGTTTGCCCACCACCCACTACCCGTGCTCACTACCAGGTTCTGGTTTCTGGGACCCCAGTGGTCATTTTCACTTTCTTTGTACTATTCGTCTATTTTAAACTATTACAACATCAATAAAATACCTGGCCAAATACTATTTGATACTAGACATATTGTGCAGTGAAACTAACAATAAAAAAAATTAACAAGAACTACAGTGTTCTCACATTACAGAGATAATCCACTTTGTAGCATAATTGGCAAGGTCAAAAATAAAAAGGTCTTAATCTTCTTTAAAACATTTAATCAAAAGCCTCATAAGTAATGTTTAGTAATATTTAAACACAAATCATCCCTAGAATGTTAAATGCTGACATGCCTTGAGGATTTGCTATGTACCAGGCATTTTACCTTAAAAGCACTGTATACTTATTTATATATTACTTAATAATTCATGTGAAGTGGGTTTTCTCATTTTATACACTAACTTATGAAGTGGAATTTAAAACCAACTGTCTGTTACATACAATGACCTTTTTTCCCAAACAGGTTATTTTCCCTAAAAAGTGCATTTCTTTTTTTATTAATTTTTGAATTTTATTTATTTTTTTATACAGCACGTTCTTATTAGTTATCCATTTTATACAGATCAGTGTATACATGTCAATCCCAATCACCCAATTCATCACACAACCACCCCCATCCCCCTGCCACTTTCCACCCTTGGTGTCCATACATTTGTTCTCCACATCTGTGTCTCAATTTCTGCCCTGAAAACCGGTTCATCTGTACCATTTTTCTAAGTTCCACATATATGCGTTAATATACGATATTTTTTTTCGCTTTCTGACTTACTTCACTCTGTATGACAGTCTCTAGATCCATCCATGTCTCAACAAATGACCCAATTTTGTTCCTTTTTATGACTGAGTAATATTCTATTGTATATATGTACCACATCTTCTTTATCCATCCATCTGTCGATGGGCATTTAGGTTGCTTCCATGACCTGGCTATTGTAAATAGTGCTGCAATGAACATTGGGGTGCATGTGTCTTTTTGAATTGTGGTTTTCTCTGGATATATGCCCAGTAGTGGGATTGCTGGATCATAGGGTAATTCTATTTTTAGTCTTTTAAGGAACCTCCATACTGTTCTCCATAGTGGCTGTATCAATTTACATTCCCACCAACAGTGCAAGAGGGTTCCCTTTTCTCTACACCCTCTCGAGCATTTGTTGTTTGTAGATCTTCTGATGATGCCCATTCTAACTGGTGTGAGGTGATACCTCATTGTAGTTTTGATTTGCATTTCTCTAGTAATTAGTCATGTTGAGCAGCGTTTCATGTGCTTCTTGGCCATCTGTATGTCTTCTTTGGAGAAATGTCTATTTAGATCTTCTTCCCATTTTTGGATTGGGTTGTTTGTTTTTTTAATATGGAGCTCCATGAGCTCTTTATATATTTTGGAGATTAATCCTTTGTCCATTGATTCATTTGCAAATATTTTTCTCCCATTCTGAGGGTTGTCTTTTCATCGTGTTTATGGTTTCCTTTGCTGAGCAAAAGCTTTGAGGTTTCATTAAATCCCATTTGTTTATTTTTGTTTTTATTTCCATTACTGTAGGAGGTGGATCAAAAAAGATCTTGCTGTGATTTATGTTCAAGCGTGTTCTTCCAATGTTTCCCTCTATGAGTTTTATAGTGTCTGGTCTTACATTTAGGTCTCTAATCCATTTTGAGTTTATTTTTGTGTATGGTGTTAGGGTGTGTTCTAATTTCATTCTTTTACATGTAGCTGTCCAGTTTTCCCAGCACCACTTACTGAAAAGACTGTCTTTTCTCCACTGTATATACTTTCCTCCTTTGTCATAGATTAGTTGACCATAGGTGTGTGGGTTTATCTCTGGGCTTTCTATCTTGTTCCATTGCTTTTTGTTTCTGTTTTTGTGCCAGTACCATATTGTCTTGATTACTATAGCTGAGTAGTATAGTCTGAAGGCAGGGAGTCTGATTCCTCCAGCTCTGTTTTTTTCCCTCAAGATTGCTTTACCTATTCGGGGTCTTTTGTGTCTCCATACAAATTTTAAGATTTTTTGTTCTAGTTCCGTAAAAAATGCCATTGGTAATTTAATAGGGATTTCACTGCATCTGTAGATTGCTTTCGGTAGTATAGTCATTTTCACAATATTGATTCTTCCAATCCAAGAACATGGTATATCTCTCCATCTGTTGGTATCATCTTTAATTTCTTTCATCCATGTCTTATAGTTTTCTGCATATAGGTCTTTTGTATCCCTAGGTAGGTTTATTCTTAGGTTTTTTATTCTTTTTGTTGCAATGGTAAGTGGGAGTGTTTCCTTAATTTCTTTCAGATTTTTCATCATTAGTGTATAGGAATGCAAGAGATTTCTGTGCATTAATTTTGTATCCTGTAACTTTACCAAATTCATTGATTAACTCTAGTAGATTTCTGGTGGCATCTTTAGGATTCTCTATGTATAGTATCATGTCATCTGCAAACAGTGACAGTTTTACTTCTTCTTTTCCAATTTGTATTCCTTTTATTTCTTTTTCTTCTCTGATTGCTGTGGCTAGAACTTCCAAAACTATGTTGAATAATAGTGGCGAGAGTGGACATCCTTGTCTTGTTCCTGATCTTAGAGGAAATGCTTTCAGTTTTTCAACATTGAGAATGATGTTTGCTGTAGGTTTGTCATATATGGCCTTTATTATGTTGAGGTAGTTTCCCTCTATGCCCACTTTCTGGAGAGATTTTATCAAAAATCGGTGTTGAATTTTGTCAACAGCTTTTTCTGCGTCTATTGAGATGATCATATGGTTTTTATTCTTCAGTTTGTTAATATGGTTTATCACAGTGATTTATTTGTGTATATTGAAGAATTCCTTGCATCCCTGGGATAAATCCCACTTGATCGTGGTATAGGATCCTTTTAATGTATTGTTGGATTCTGTTTGCTAGTATTTTGTTGAGGATTTTTGCATGTATATTCATCAGTGATATTGGTCTGTAATTTTCTTTTTTTGGAGTATCTTTGTCTGGTTTTGGTATCAGGGTGATACCAGGGGTGACACCAGGTGATACCAGGTATCTTTGTCTGGTTTTGGTATCAGGGTGATACCAGGTGTGATACCAGGCTGATACCAGGTGACCTCATAGAATGAGTTTGGGAGTGTTGCTTCCTCTGCAATTTTTTGGAGAGTTTGAGAAGGATGGGTGTTAGCTCTTCTCTAAATGACTGATGGAATTCACCTGTGAAGCCATCTAGTCCTGGACTTTTGTTTGTTGGAAGATTTTTAATCACAGTTTCAATTTCATTACTTGTGATTCATCTGTTCATATTTTCTGTTTCTTCCTGGTTCAGTCTTGGAAGGTTATAGCTTTCTAAGAATTTGTCCATTTCTTCCAGGTTGTCCATTTAATTGGCACAGAGTTGCTTGTAGTAGTCTCTTAGAATGCTTTGTATTTCTGCGGTGCTTGTTGTAACTTCTCCTTTTTCATTTCTAATTTTATTGATTTGAGTCCTCTCCTTCTTTTTCTTGATGAGTCTGGCTAATGGTTTATCAATTTTGTTTATCTTCTCAAAGAACCAGCTTTTAGTTTTATTGATCTTTGCTGTTGTTTTGTTTCTATTTCATTTATTTCTGCTCTGATCTTTATGATTTCTTTCCCTCTGCTAACTTTGGGTTTTGTTTGTTCTTCTTTCTCTAGTTCCTTTAGGTGTAAGGTTAGATTGTTTATTTGAGATTTTTCTTGTTTCTTGAGATAGGCTTGTATAGCTATAAACTTTCCTCTTAGAACTGCTTTTGCTGCATCCCATAGGTTTTGGATCATTGTGTTTTCATTGTCATTTGTCTCTAGGTATTTTTTTGTTTCCTCTTTGATTTCTTCAGTGATATCTTGGTTATTTAGTAATGTATTGTCTAGCCTCCATGTGTTTGTGATTTTTACATTTTTTTCCCTGTAATTCATTTCTAATCTCATATCCTTGTGGTCAGAAAAGATGCTTGATATGATTTCAATTTTCTTAAATTTACTGAGGCTTGGTTTGTGACCCAAGATGTGATCTATCCTGGAGAATGTTCTATGCACACTTGAGAAGAAAGTGTAATCTGCTGTTTTTGGATGGAATGTCCTATAAATATCAATTAAATCTATCTGGTGTATTGTGTCATTTAAAACCTATGTTTCCTTATTTATTTTCATTTTGGATGATCTGTCCATTGGTGTAAGTGAGGTGGTAAAGCCCCCCACTATTATTGTGTTACTGTCGATTTCCTCTTTTATAGCTGTTAGCAGTTGCCTTATGTATTGATGTGCTCCTATGTTGGGAGCATATATATTTATAATTGTTATATTTTCTTCTTGGATTGATCCCCTGATCATTTTGTAGTGTCCTTCCTTGTCTCTTGTAACATTCTTTACTTTAAAGTCTATTTTATCTGAAATGAGTATTGCTATTGCAGCTTTCTTTTGATTTCCATTTGCATGGAATATCTTTTTCCATCCCCTCACTTTCAGTCTGTATGTGTCCCTAGGTCTGAAGTGGGTCTTTTGTAGACAACATATATATGGGTCTTGTTTTTGTGTCCATTCAGCAAGCCTGTGTCTTTTGGTTGGAGCATTTAATCCATTCACGTTTAAGGTAATTATCGATATGTATGTTCCTATGACCATTTTCTTAATTGTTTTGGGTTTGTTTTTGTAGTTCCTTTTCTTCTCTTGTGTTTCCCACTTAGAGAATTTCCTTTCACATTTGTTTTAGAGCTGGTTTGGTGCTGGTTTGAATTCTCCTAGCTTTTGCTTGTCTGTTAAGCTTTTGATTTCTCCATTGAATCTGAATGAGATCCTTGCCGGGTAGAGTAATCCTGGTTGTAGGATCTTCCCTTTCATCACTTTAAGTATATCATGCTACTCCCTTCTGGCTTGTAGAGTTTCTGCTGAGAAATCAGCTGTTAACCTTTTGGGAGTTCCTTTTTATGTTATTTGTTGTTTTTCCCTTGCTGCTTTCAATAATTTTTCTTTGTCTTTAATTTTTACCAATTTGATTACTATGTGTCTCGGCATGTTTCTCCTTAGATTTATCCTGTATGGGACTCTGTGCTTCCTGGAGTTGGGTGTCTATTTTCTT